AGAGGGCCGGCAGCCCTGGGAACCGCCGTGGGGACGGGAAAGAGTCGTCTCTCGGCTCACAACAACGCTCCAAGTGTTGTTTGTTAGTGACAGAAGCCGGCACTTCGCTGCCACCCCTGGTCCTGCTCACCATTGTGCCAGAAACGCGCCCACCGACCCCCAGCCATGCTTAATTTCCACAGGGGCGAGTGGGGAACGCTGTCAGCTCATTAAAAAACTAATTAAAGATGGGATTGTTGTCCCTACAAAGACCGCATGTCACAGACAGTCCGAGACTGTTCCATCTTCACACGTGTCCCGAACATCTCCTGCACCCACTGGAGCTCTGTCCGGATAAACCGGGGCCTGTGTCTGTGTTTGTGGGGGGTGTAGCTGGTTCTAAATCAGGTCAGACCTTTATCATCACGTCATGTGTGCAAAACTCGACTCATCCTGACAGCAGTGCTGGTGACACTCACACACTGAGCCAGGACAGAGCAGCCAAGCTGGTGTCCTAATGCTCACCATGGGGTCCTTCTCCCTCTGATCCCACCGAGGCTCTGCTTCCACAGGTGAAACAGCAGGGAGACTCTCCCATTTGGGCAGTTTTCCCTGTGGTGTGACCAGGGCCAGGCTCAAACCCGGTCAATATCGTTTTGCCATGCCTCCACAGTGATTTCACTGGGCTTTACCACACGCCGGTCTGTGTTTACTGCAGTAAGCAACCTGCCCGGGACCATTTACACCTGAATCCTGAATCTAGCGTATCGTTCCTAAAGCGATAGCCTGTCCCTGCGTACAGTACAGACATTAAACAATACTTACTGCTCCTTACAGAACCGAGAGGACTCTGATCGCCCACCTCCCTGACAGAAGAGCCTTTTATTGTACATTATTGTACATTACTGACGGCCAGAAGATAACTACCAACAGCGCCCAGTTCAAGCTCTGGGGCTTGAAGGGAAAATAAAATCATTTTAAACAGCGATGTCGTGTATATCATTTATAATACAGAAAACCCGATAGGCTGTCTCTTTCACACAGCAGACAAAGACAGCACGTTCTACAAAAAAAAAAACGTACTTTTACACCGAACAAAAACGAAACGATCGCTTCTGGTAAAGACACGCGTCTAAGTGTCGCTATTAAACCTCCCCAGTAGTTTTTTATTTCTTCTCCGTTTTTATAATACCGTGAAAGCACACTAGAGGATCGTTAGGAATTATTTCCGTATTGCTCTTTTTTAATTTCGGTCAACACACTCTGACGGGCTAGCACCTTGGCTTCTGCACGGCCGGAGCACGGGGATCGCCCGGTACCTGTCGCGCACCGCTGCCGGGCGGAGGGCACTGGGCACACAAAGACCTGTCCAGTGCGAGTGTCCGAGCACTTACTTTTGCACTTCAGGGCCTCTGCGCGGACCTGGCGATTGCACGCATCGCACCAGTCTCTCGCCACCTTGCCCGGGGCGAAGACGTGCCCCTCTCCCTTCTCCTCTTTCACCCTCGGGTCCTGCTGGCGGAAGATGGACCAAGCCTCTTTCCTCGGCGGGTCCTGCCGCAGCATCTTCACCACCCCGGACCGGCACTGGGTCAGGACGGGCATCTTATGGCCGGCGCCGGGTCCCCCGAACCCGGTCCCGTCGCCCCAGGCGCTGAGGTCGATGTTCTGGTGTAGGGTGACCTGCGACGACCGCCTGCTGACAGGTCGGTGGAAGCCGACGTGCCCGTTAGCCGGGGAGCTGTTGGTCCTGAAAGCCTTGACTTCTTTCAGGGACTTCTTCCTGCCGCTTCCATGGTGAGAGCAAGCCGCCGAACTGCTCGTCCCGGCATCGCTTCTGTCAGGGCTGCCTGGCGGCTTCACGTCCTCCCCCTCCGCCCTGGGGATGCTGTTTTTCCGCTTCGCCGGGAGCGAAAAAGGCTCCCTCCCCTCCCCACTTCTGCAGCAGGTCGAGAGGTCATTCATCCCGGTAGTATCGACATTGTCCACCCTGCACGGCTGCAGCGCCGGGCTCACAACCCCGCCGCCTCTGCTGCTGTAGCCGTCCTCCGGCGCGGCGCTGTTTCCCTGAGGATGTAACGGAGCTGGAGATGCCGCCGCCGCCGCCGCCAGCCCCTGCTCCGCCGGCGCGCTCTTCTTCGCCTTCATCTCGCCCGAAGACTTCCTCAGGAGCTTCTTCCTCTCGCCGCTGGAGAGCTGCTGGAGAAAGCGCTGCTGTTCCGTGTCGAGGTGGAGCTGAGCCGGGTGCCGTCCCAGAGCCACGGACGCCATTGCCGTTCGCTGCTTCCCTCCTGCGGCTCGGACTCCGAAGACGACAACCCTCTGATCTGGCTGTAGTGTAAATTAAATCGGAGCGGCAGCTGAGCGCAGCAGTGACGCACGCCTGCGGGGCGACTGGCTGTGGAAATGCCAGCGGCCGCAGAGATGCACTGTCTTAAAGAGAACGAAGTGCTTCCCTCTTTTTTGGGGGGGGGGAATCCGTTAGGGGAATTTTGTTTTCGTTTACAGTCTGAAGAGCTAATTCCATCGTTACACCAGATATATAGCATCGGGCTCTTGCTTTTATTTTACTTATGAATTATCGCGATATTCCTAATATATACTGTATATAATATATATTTCCAAAGGGGAGTATTATTGAACAAAATCTTTAAATTTAGCAATATTTTAAAGCCGAATGAGTTCACTCGCCCTCATTGAGCATCATTATAAAGGAGACAAGTTACTCCAATGGGCGGGCTGGACACAAAATCAAACTATAAAATAGCGAAACTGCTGTCTTCACGTTTCCAAAAGCACTTGCTAACCTGACATCTAAGACCTAAAAATGACGCCCGTTTGTTTTTAAGGGGAGCGAGTTTCAAAACGATGAAAGAACCGCGGCATGTTTAAAAAGAAGATATCACTCTGAATATCATGATTAGTCATTTTTGTCAAGGAAAAGTCCTGGCACTTAAATACTCTGTTTGTAAAGGTCACGAACGTTTTTTTTTACACTACAATCAGACAATAAACCCAAGTGCCGCGTTCAGTCACCTCTCTCCCACACACGGTCCAGCACCCACAATGTTTTGTCACGGCTTGAGCCCGCGGAGTTCCGGGTAATCGACTTGCTTTGAGCAACAGTAACCTAGATTGTATAAACACAGCCCCTTTAGAATAAGAAAAGGTAGACAATGGAAGTTTTGAGAAGTTTGTGTTGCAGGAGTCAGTGGGGTTCTGTAAATTCTAGGGAAATACCCGAACACAGCCGCTGGCTGTTGGTGTAAAAACAGATCCGAACATTAACGGAACATTAAACGGAGAAAGAATAGCTGTCAAACTGCCCTGCAGCTGGGGAAGTTTTGCGGCTGTCCTTACACGTGATTACAATTTTAATAACACGGAGAAAGAAGTTTTTACTTGGATTCAGACACCGAACCGCCCCCTTACTCCCGAAAACACCAGAATCAAGTGAACGATTTATTAAATAAAACTGTCTTCTAAATGAAGAAAGCGATCAAGGTGGCTTGTTTTCAGCAATATGTTGCGGACTTCTGATTGCGCTGTTACTGGTGTAACGTTTTTTTGCTCTCGGTTGGCGTTCGCGTTTTTAATCCGACTTTTTTTATCATATACTGTAGTTCGTGTCATTATTTTTGAAAGACAGTTATTAGATATCATCATAACACTCGGGGATTGTTTACAACCGCTCAAAGGGAAACTCCGCAGATAAAATGAAAGTCCGCGACCCGGTGCAGGGGCGCAAGTCTGAGGTCTTCACCACAGGAGTCCCCGAGAGACACCGAAAATCCCCGCTGGCCCGAGGCGCCCTGCTTCTCTCTGCTTAACACCCGAGGGAGGAGAGAAGGCTTCAAGACTACAAAGTGACTGGCCAGACCTTATCACCGAATTGCGATCGCACGCACTGTTTTCTTATGATTATTTTCTTTTTTTTTTAAGATGCGACTTTTTGTTTTCAGAACAAAAGACTTGAAGACTGCTGTGTTAAATTATGTCATGTCATTCCCGGCCATACTAACAATGAAACACAGCTGCGTTTTTGTGCTGCTTTAAATCGTTCTCAAGACCACCAATTTATTCTTAACAAGTCTTTCAAACGTAACTGACATCTCGTTCGTGCGGGGCTTAAACATATTTTCGACAGGTTTTTAAAGAATAACAACAAGAAGAAGCGCAATCGTTCCTTTTCCATTGCTACTGAAGTTTATTAAATGTTCAATTAATATCTCGCAATAACTTACACGACTGTCAAACAAGAAGCAACACCCTTCGTTCAATTTACACCTTCACCGTTATACAATTCTGCCTCTGGACGTACCCGCTATAAAAAAAAATCAAGCCTGCCCCCCAGTGGTCAGTCCATGAACTGCACGCGTATCCTGAGTTGACCATTCCAGTTAACGAACTGGAAGATCACAGATCAGGACGTGTTGGGCTGGTAACTGGAATGGCGGAGGGCAGAAGGGTGGTTGCATATCTTTAAAAAAATACACACGGAGTCACACAAAGAGAAATGGTTCTATACCAGAGAGGGTGGGGATTAGACCTCTTTAATTTCTGGTCCTGTAAGTAAAAATACAGTACTCATAGGATTCTGGGAAGAATATTCCCCCAGATCCTGAATCAGCAGTCTTTGGTTTTTCAAAGGCAACATTCAGACTAACAAAAGCACAACAATTAGCATGGATGGTTGCAGTTGATAAACGTCTTGAAGAGTGGAGACCTGTCATTGTGCCCTTCGTGAAGAACTGGCTCAATGATATGATCTCCTCAATTACAATGGAGAGGATACGTTTTTATTGGACAGGAAGTCTGCAGCGATTCCTCAGGACCTGGGGCCTCTCTGTTGGCTGTCTTGAAAGAGACCGAGCTTTGTACGTTTGCCTGATTGTTTTATACCATTATACCATATATCATTTTGTGATCACTTCTGTCACAGATCCCTGGCCATTCACTTCAGGGCTCCTGACCAACATCACACATGACCTTCAAACCTTGAAGACGTACAGAACGAACTGAATCCTGGCTCAGTTTTCAATCTGGGGCTGGTTCTACAGCGTGCAAGACAGGTAGCTGGATACTCGTAAATAAAAAAAATACAGAGGTTTATACATTCATCTTTAAAAGGCTTTCCTTTGTTGATTTACAGTGCAGAGTAGTTTGGATAGTTTTTAAGTGTTGTGGTACAAAGTGCTGTGCTTTTGAAATCCTGCGTGATGAACGCCAAGGGACATCGGCTCTGATTTCAGAAGGAGCAGGCAATCAGACCCCAGGACTGTTGTTCAGGGCTCCAAAGCTGTAAAACCAGAGAAATAAATAAACAGTATAATGATGTCATCACCCGCCCAGGCATAAACTGTTGAACTGTTCTCTCTCCCATCATTACTGTTTCAAATCTTACTTCCACTGATAAAAACCTACTGCCAAAATACATATTTTGTCACTGACATCAGATCAATTAAATGTATAAAAGGAAATCATGATTTAATTGATCTGATGTTAAAATGCATCATACTTTCATTAATATAATTGATCTTGCTGCTTACAAAGCAATGTTTCTTTCTTATACTTGGTTACTTATATCAGTTGAAAAGGTGGTAACAGTTGTAGGTGACAGGAAAGCGGGTTAAGGCAAGCCTGTCATTGCTGCAAGGTTTGGGCTGAGGTTATATTTGAGAACAAAGTCTTAAATTAATAAGGATGCACTTTTTTTATTTCGAAATCTAAATCTTGCTTAAAGCCATTTCTTATCCCAATTCTGATCCTAAACCAAATCCTTCACCTTCACTAAGACAGACAGCCTCAACCACTCACTCTGCTAATCCAGCTGGATCACCTAATGAAACATAACCACAGCCCAAGCCAATATGCACGGCTCAGCCAAGCCCAGAGCATGTAGGGTGATGTCTGATAACGGGATTGAGCTTCATGTAAGCAGATTGCCCCATGAGCTGATCTAAGAAATTAAGGAATTAGTATTTCACAGACTCCAAAGAGATATCATTGGCCTCATTTGGCAATAAATGTAGAACAACAAACACTACTCATTACATTTTAAAGCTTAGTGATTATCATTGCTGGAGACTGTAGGGGCCAATGTTTTTTTTGTCTGTGGCCATGCAATGATAGATCAGTGCTGTACTGGTTATTGAAGTTATTGACTGTTATTGACATCTCATGACTGGTATGGTGTAATGGTGTATGCATGTAATGTACAGGGAGATCTGCATGACTAGATAAATGCCAGCAGCCATATCACTCTGCAACTCACAACCGGCAGCCCACTGAAGCTCAGCAGGTGTGAGCCTGGTCAGTACCTGGATGGGAGACCTCCTGGGAAAAACTAAGGTTGCCGCTGGAAGAGGTGTTAGTGGGGCCAGCAGGGGGCGCTCACCCTGCGGCTCATGTGGGTCCTAATGCCCCAGTATAGTGACGGGGACACTATACTGTAAACAGGCGCCGTCCTTCGGATGAGACGTAAAACTGAGGTCCTGACTCTCTGTGGTCATTAAAAATCCCAGGGTGTTTCTCGGAAAGAGTAGGGGTGTAACCCCGGTGTCCTGGCCAAATTTCCCATTGGCCCTTACCCATCATGGCCTCCTAATAATCCCCCTCTATGAATTGGCTACATTACTCTGCTCTCCTCCCCACTGATAGCTGATGTGTGGTGAGCGTTCTGGCACACTATGGCTGCCGTTGCATCATCCAGGTGGATGCTGCACATTGGTGTGGTGGTGGAGGAGAGTCCCCATTACCTGTGGAGTGTCCAGAAAAGCGCTATATAAGCGTAAGCAATTATTATTATTATTATTCTAAATGTCATGCTTGATATTGATCGACTCGTGATGGGATACACCATAAAAATGGACCAATATAATGAGCAGAGAGAAGACTATGACCAGATCTATACCGCACAGCTTACTGATCAGGCTGTGTAGTGTAATACAGGGTGGCACTGACCCCTCTATTATATTGTTGTTACGTTGGAGTTCACGAGCAACCACTTCCATTTCTTCTCTAAGCCGATTAATCCTGAAAGGAAGCACAAGATCACAGTTTTAAAATGAGCTCATTTAAAACTCAGGCAGGCGCTCAGGTGAACGGCTCTTAGCCTGTCCGAGAAGGAGTGGGGAAAAAAAAGAGCAATTCAGAAACACATGGGGAAAGTCCGATGCTCCTCTCTCAGGCGTGTGGATTATCTGATTCCAGAGGAAAACAGAACAGCACTGTCTGTGGAAAGAAGAAGAGGCTGAGCAGCTTCTTCTGCAGTTTTTGTATTGGTTTCGTTTCCTGAAAGGCAAAGAAAAGGTCTGTGTGTGGAAGCAGCCAAGCTGAAACAATGGAGGGGCACTCCCGTTCTGCTCCTGAGTCGGGAGACTCAAGAATGATCTTTTCTTTCTTGGGACTGTCCCACGTCCAACCTGCCTAACTTGCCTCTTCTCCTCGACACACCATGAACCCTGAGACCTGAGACGTGACAAGCCCCGATGAGCCCTCTGACACCCCTGACCAGCCTTAACACAGCCCTGACCGGTCCTCACACACCCCTGACCGGCCTCCCTCACACAGCCCTGACCAGCCCTCATACAGCTCTGACCAGCTCTCAGAGACCCCTCACAGGCTCTCAGACACCCCTGACCGGCCCTCACACAGCCCCGACCGGCCCTCACACACCCCTGACCGGCCCTCACACAGCTCTGACTGGCTCTCACACAGCCCTGACCGGCTCTCAGACACCCCTGACCGGCCCTCACACAGCTCTGATCGGCTCTCAGACACCCCTGACCGGCCCTCACACACCCCTGACCAGCTCTCACACAGCCCTGACCGGCCCTCACACAGCCCTGACCGGCCCTCACACACCCCTGACCAGCCCTCAAACAGCTCTGACCAGCTCTCACACAGCCCTGACCGGCCCTCACACAGCCCTGATGAGCCCTCACATAGTCCTGACCGGCCCTCACAAAGCCCTGACCAGCTCTCAGACACCCCTGACCAGCCCTCAGTCAGCCCTTACCAGCTCTCACACAGCCCTGACCGGCCCTCACACAGCCCCGACCAGCCCTCACACACCCCTGACCGGCCCTCACACAGCCCTGACCGGCCCTCAGACACCCCTGACCAGCTCTCACACAGCCCTGACCGGTCCTCACACACCCCTGACCGGCCCTCACACAGCCCTGACCGGCCCTCACACAGCCCTGACCAGCCCTCACGCAGCCCTGACCGGCCCTCACGCAGCAGCACTCTGCCCTTCACAGGACAATAACTGATGAAAAGATAATTATCAACCACTATGCTGTCTGTCAGTTAGTGATTGATGCCAGAAAACAATAAAAACGAAAGGAATTTGATTTATAAAAATCTTTGATTTTTGATATCCATTATATCCTACAAAGAGCAACCAGAAATACAGGATGGAATAAAGTAATCCAGAACGCCCCCACCTGACTCATGTCGCCCCAGGCAATTTGCACCCCACCAGCTGTGGGACAATTGTGACCAGGGGAATGTCCACTCCTGGTCCTCCTCCTGAGAGTGGCAGCCAGTGAAATGCCCCCCCCTCTGGTGCCCGTCCAGATCTCTTACCTGGCTATCATCTGGTCTCGGTCCTTCAGGCCGCCCGGCGCTTCCGCGCAGAGCACGTTCTGCTGCGCTCCGAGGAGTGCTCTGTCCAGCGCCTGAGAGAGGGGAGCAGAGACAGGCCACTGCTGCGTCTGACCACCTGGCTCACCTGTGCCTATCACAGTGGAAACAGCGCAGCGCGACCCCAGCATGGCCAAGAATGGGACAAAATGCAGGAGGCCATGGCTCAACACCAAAATGACGGTATGGGAAAATGAGCATATTCCTCAAATGTCAAGTTTCTAATAAATACTGACTGGCTATAAACAGAAAAATAATGTAATAGCTTTGCAGACTTTATTTCCGTTACCTGGCTCTGATGCTCCTCACAGCTCTGCAGGTTGTCAATGACTTTATGTAAAGAGCAGCTGAGATCCTTCAGCCTCTTCCTGATGTCATTCAATGTGCTGAGGAAACACAGACACGCCTGACATCAGCAGTCACTCAAGACAGCTTAATCACATTGTAACGCTAATATAAAATATAAAACTCGTTGACAATCAATTTCGTCCCAGTGGACACCAGAGAGCTCTACAGATGTGGGGAGACCCACTTCATCCTCCATTGAAGTGAAGCCCCTCACATGGGTGACACAGAGCAGCCATTCTTCCCCAACACTCCCAGCACACAGCAGATCAGGGGGACTGAAGAGAAATTTCTCCACATACTCCACATGATTTGGAAATTCTGGCTGAGAGGGATAGCACCTCCTACTGGTCCACCAACGCCACTTGCGGAAGCAACCTGGTTTTCTTTAGAGGTCTACAATCTCAAGACTAACCAGGCCCAGGCTTGACAAGCTTGAGAGAAATGATGAGACCAGGCTACAAAGACAACGTGCTGTCATAACTGCACATGCACTGTCACTGTTCTCTTCTTTTTCACACTGGGTTGGCAGCACCAACAGGAGAGCCAAGACATCAGAGGGCGAACCACAGAGCCACAAACTCTTGGGGTCTAAGCTGGCATACAGGGCACTGCTGCTCTGCAGGCCCAGGACACTCCAGCCAGATCATGCTCTCCATATCACACACTGCAGCTTACAGAACTGTGTCACTGTAGGCCAGAATCAAACGCATGTTGTCAGGGAAAACACTTCAACTAATTCCCTGAATTATCACTTTTACTTCCCCATTGGAAATGACCTGTTATTGTCCTTTACATATCTGCCCCAATTTGGAAAGGACAGCAGTTGAAGATATCCTGTGTTGGACCGGGGGGCGTGCTCCCTCCTAGGACACACCCACCCGCAGAGACGCTCCTCACTGGACAGGCTGTGAGCTCCACAGCGCCTGACAGGTGAGTTAACTCTGACTGGAGGAGCAGCGTGTCTCTCGCTGACATCACCATAAGCCCGCTAGGAATACCATAGCTGAGTCAGGCCCACCCTACATCAGAGACGCTCTGCTAACCATATGCCACCTGTGCGGCTTCATTAGCAAAGCGGCCTTCACTTGTCTGCTCACCTGGACCAGCTGCTCACTGTCACCAGAGCATTCTTGTACGTATGCACACAGTCGTCTCTGAAGAGACATTTGACTTTCTTAATGTGCGCCGTCAGGTTAATCCTAAAAATGCAGAAGGGTAACCATTAAGCACATTAAACACTTAGAAAATATAAATGAATGTTGTATGTATAAACTGTATAAGTGTATGCAAACAAAGAACACAGCACACATACTGTACTCACTAAAAATCATGAATATGTGTAAAATGAATTTCACACTGGATCTCTTTTATTAACTGTTGTCCATGTACAGTATTAAACAGCACAGGATGTGGTCGCAAATGGGTCCAGTGACTGTCAATGCAGTACTCACTTTTCAAACTTGTGGATCTGCTCATCATTATACAACAGTTCTGTGAAAAAGGAAATCAAAAAGCCCTTAGTAAGATTTCAATGTTTGATTCACCTTACAGCTCCTCCAACCAGTACTCTGATGGCCTGACCTGACACAGAAAGACAGAATTTTCCTTTGTGACTCCCTAAACTACCCTGTCTGTCACTTGGAATCTGTCATATCTGTTGTTTCTTTAGTTTTCGTCAGATACCGTATGTCTCTATCCAGGAGGTATTTGCTCCTTAAATTCAACACGTCTTCTCTGACTGCTCTTTGATCTCTTCTTGCAGCAGGCAGAAAGAGAGACAGCTTGTCAAACCTGAACACGCCCACATGTACTTACTGCCTGTTATTCTGTCCTTCCTGTACTGCTGGTAGACTGATGTGATCTTCCCAAGCAGAACATCAATTTTCTGTGTGCTGCACAAAGAGAGGAATCGTCATTGTGTGTGGAAACCATTAGCTACTGTCACGTAAGTCATTATAAGACACTGTGTGCTCCTATTAGACAGGCATTATTGCCATCAAACACACAAAAAGATGACGTGCAATTCAGTTTACCCATTATGCCTACACATAGTGCACCCAGAGATGCTGTAAACATTAAACATTAAACCGAGGCAGAAAACTGGTTCTCTAATAAGAGCCTGAGAACTATCAACAGCTGAAAACTTTCAAAGAGTGTCTGATTGCTCCAATATGCTTCAAGTAAACCAATAATTACTTCAATTACCTTGTGAATTGCAAACCTAAAATTTTGTTGGCCCTTAATGACTGAAGTTATGCACTGCTTGCCTGACCGCTAACAAAACTTGACAAGGTGCGGAGGAGAGGGGAACCGCTGCTTACGTTCTGTCCCGCGCCCACACGTCCGAGTGCTTGGACCACTCCTGCTTCATCTGCTCCAGCCGGGCCTGCAGGTCCCGCACGCTCTCCACATACAAAGGGAGGTGCTCCTGTATCTGAGG